CAAGAACTACCATTTGACCCAGTAAGCCCCATCTGAAAAAGAAAGCAAATCATTCCACCAAAAAGACATATGCAACTGTATGTTCACTGGACCACTATTCAGAATAGCAAAGACATGAAATCAACACAGGTGCCATCAATGGTGAGTTGGATTTTAAAAATGAGGTATGTATATACCATGGAATACTACATAGCCATAAAAGAATGAAATCATGCCCTTTGCAGCAACGTGGATGCAGCTGGAGGTCATTATCTTAAGCAAATTAATGAAGGGATTATAGGGATAGACCCTATAATCTCACTTATATGTGGAGCTAAACATTAGGTACTCACAGATATAAAGATATCATCAATAGACAATGAGGACTACTAGAGAAGGAAGGAAGAACAGGAGCAAGGGCTGAAAAACTAACTGTTGGGTACTATGCTCAGTACCTGGGTGATGGAATCATTTGTATCTCAGCATCACACAACATACCCAGTAACAAACCTGCATATGGATCCCCTGAATCTAAAAAAAAAAAAAAGTTGAAAAAAGATGTAAACTACTATATTTTAAAAATATTCAGTGAAACCAGAGTAATTAAGTCAATAGTAGTAATAAACACCTTGTTGTAAGAAAAGAAAATTTTATCATCAAGCTGAATAATGGGGAATACTTTAAAGAAAGTCCAATAGAAGTAGTTCCCATGATTTGGAGATTGTAAGTTTCTTAGAGAACAGAAACTGGAAACTGAGATCAAGACCAACTAATTATATGTAAATATAAAATGAAAACAATATATAATTTTAATATAGAGCATGAATTTTAGTAATTCTTATTCATAATGGCCAAACTGAAGGGCCGCCCTGACTACTGCTTTATAGGTATACAAAGATCCAGTAGATCTTATTTGGCTTTTAGCTCCCAGTTATTAGATGGGCAAAGAATGGCCAGTTATTCTTTTTACAGAATGAAGCTTTAGTAAGCTTTATCTCTATGTGGTGTGTTACAGATTCATAGATTAAAATACACGTGGTTTCTAAGAAACAATTAAGTTTAAGCTCTAGTGTTTATTTCCAGATAAATAGCGGTATTCTTCAATAAATCACATACTAGAAAGAGTTACAGTGCATCAGCTATATATTCTGCTTTTACTATACTGCACTTCCAAACTATTTCAGTACTTATGCTCCCCAACTCCTGTGAGTATAAGAAATCCAGATCACCAATGCTTAGCTGATTTTCTAGGTTACAAATCTTGTGGAAAGTGGAAAGAGCCATATCGTGTCACAGACTTGAACAAATAACCCCAGGGTGAGTACTAGTTAAGAAGGAAGAGAATATCTATTTCAGCCTCTGAACTACTTTTCTTTGGCTTCAGCTTTGATTTAAGGCATTTAGTCTCAGGCTGATAGTGTTTTCATTCTGGCTAAAACGCCATTCCTGAGCCCTGCTTTCCAATGCATTCCTTGTTGTTACCTTCTGCTTTATATGGATGGGGGATTGACTACAACAGGCTCCCACATCATCCGGATTGTGGCTTGGCTAGTTAGAAGAATTACAGAAGGTGGGAAGCTAGAGGGAGGAGAAGCCAGGATATTTCCCCTTTTTGTTCAACCTTGATTATTGAGATGACTATTATTATACATTAGGTATGTTAAATATATTTACATCACTTACAGCTAAAAAATCTTTACTGACAATATACAAAGAGCATTAATGTTTTGGGGTTTTTTTTACTCTTGTTTTTGAGATGAAGTTTTGCTCTTGTCGCCCAAGAGCAAAACTTGGAGTGCAATGGCACAATCTCGGATCACCACAACCTCTGTCTCCTGGTTCAAGTGATTCTCCTGCCTCAGCCTCCCAAGTAGCTGGGATTACAGGCATATACAACCATGCCGGGCTAATTTTGTATTTTTAGTAGAGATAGGGTTTCTCCATGTTGTTCAGGCTGGTCTCAAACTCCCAACCTCAGGTGATCTGCCTGCCTCGGCCTCCTAAAGTGCTGAGATTACAGGTGTGAGCCACCTGTCCAGCCAAAGATCTCTAAATTTATTTTTAAATGTAAATAAACTATAAATTGCTATAAAATAATTTAGAATTGATGTCTTCCAAAGTTATTGGGCTTAATCTTTTAATCCCTGGTTTAATTATGAAAAAAATCAGTCATTATCATCATTTACCAAACTGGGTCAGCATTACCTTGTACCTCTATAAGGACATTGGTTTTTAACCATTTCCCAGAGAACATTTGTCCAGTTCTCAAAATAATATTTAACATTTAGAGCATAATTAATAGAGGACCTCTCATTTGTTTGCAAAGCCAAGCAGACAAGCAAGAACACTAAGAGCAATAAGTTATACAGAAGACCTAGCACCTTTTTGCAATGAACTAGTAGGTGAGTCCCTTTCCTACTTTATTTATAGTTTATAACAAGCCTTGAGAGATTTTTAAAATCTTGGTTATCTAAATATATAAACCAACTACATTAATAAAGAAAATATCTGGTAGAAGATATGTTGAAAATAGTTATCAATGTTACTTAAGGTTTCTATTTAAAATGTCAATCTTTAAGAAAAGGAAGATGAAAAATAAAACAGTGTGATGCTAAAAACATTAAGCAACACATAGCAGTGCACAATACACAAAGTACATGATTATTATCATCTTATGCTTATAAATTACAATTGTGCACAGTATAGGCTGAGCAAATTGCCCGAAGTTACCATGAATAAATCACAAACCTGGGAGCTGCTACCAGTTCCTCTATCCAAGAGTGATGGTATACATAACAATTGTTACATCAATGATAATCATTTAAATGTATTGGCTTAGAAAACTGCAAAGTCCAGGAGGACATTTGGCTTGAAGCGTAGCTTCAGTCACGGCATGATGCTCAAGTGAGGTCATCAGCGTCTGCGTCTCTCCATCACTTTGAGGTACTGAACAAATCATGACCAGGAGTCCGCCATCCACTAGTGTCATTGTGCTGTTCCATAATCATGACCAGGAGTCCGCCATCCACTGGTGTCACTGTGCTGTTCCATAATCATGACCAGGAGTCCGCCATCCACTGGTGTCACTGTGCTGTTCCATAATCATGACCAGGAGTCCGCCATCCACTGGTGTCACTGTGCTGTTCCATAATCATGACCAGGAGTCCGCCATCCACTGGTGTCATTGTGCTGTTCCATAATCATGACCAGGACTCCGCCATCCACTGGTGTCATTGTGCTGTTCCATAATCATGACCAGGAGTCCGCCATCCACTGGTGTCATTGTGCTGTTCCATAATCATGACCAGGACTCCGCCATCCACTGGTGTCACTGTGCTGTTCCATAATCATGACCAGGAGTCCACCATCCACTGGTGTCACTGTGCTGTTCCATAATCATGACCAGGAGTCCGCCATCCACTGGTGTCATTGTGCTATTCCATGTTCCCACTGGATCCCAGAATACAACGTGAATTATTCTTTCTGGAATTGGACACGTGATCTTCTTGATAATCTAAGTACAGCTGTAGGACTAGAAGAACCCTGGTCTGAAGGATGCCACATGGCTCACAATCTACCAGGTCCCCTTGGATTACTTATGAAAGAGGAATAATTATAAACATCATGCCTAAGTAAGCATTACTGAAAGTCTTCTCTGATTTCACCAAATGATGTGTACAGGAATGTTCATAGCAGCTTTACTACCAGTATCTCTGTATTAGTCCATTCTCACACTACTATAAAGAACTTCCCTGAGACTGGGTGATTTAGAAAGAAAAGAAGTCTCATTGACCCACAGTTCTGCATGTTTGTGGAGGCCTCAGGAAACTTACAATTATGGCAGAAGTGTAACCATCTTTCCTTGTCTGAGATAATGCCCGGAGTTCTTTGTCCTACCTCCAAGATGTTTAAGGAGCACGGACAGGAAGATGAAGTTAGAGCAAAAGTTCATAATTGAGAAAAGAAAGCTCTCTGCTGGAAGAGAAGGGGTCCCAGACAGGACTGGGGTCCAGGGTTTTCATGGACTGGGAAAGGTGCTTAGTCTGAGAGCTGTTTTGGTGAATGTGTGACTCACCTTGGCCAAGGATCAACCAGGAGCGGAAGTGATGATTCGTAGAGGCTGCTCAGCTTGGCCAAGGACCTATTATCAGAGGCTGAAGTAATGATTCATACAGCTGGACTTACAATCCTAATAAAGGAAAGTAGAGTATTCACTGGAATCCACCAGAGCCCACCACACCTATGCCCACAAAGGGAGAAGGAACTGTTCCTGGAAGTCCACTGACCATATACAGGACAAAGGCCTTTCTATGCCAGGACTTATTCCCTTATCTGAGTGAGCTGGAGGTTTGTTCAAGTTTTTATCTAAATGGGCCAGAGGTTTTTTTCTATCTGCAGCCGTGGGCATATCTCCAGGCCCAGCACCCTGTGCTGGTTCCCTGCAGCTTGAATTTTATCCCAGGCTGCTTTTTATGTTATGTGGGGACTGAGGCAGTGATCCACAGGCCAGGGGCTCTCTGGGACCCTTCCCTTGTTATCTGCCTAAGGCAAGCTAACTAACTCCTTTCAGGAGAAGTAGGTACATCTTACATGGTGGCAGGCAAGAGAGATGGATGAAGGAAGAACTTCCAAACACTTAAAAAACCATCCAATCTCAAGAGAAATAACTCACTATTCTGAGAACAGCATGGGGGGAACAAACTGCCTCCACGATCCAGTCACCTCCCTCCCTCAACACATGGGCACTATAGTGACACTTGGGAATTACAACTTGAGATAAGATTTGGGTGAGGACACAGAATCAAATCATATCACTATCCCAACTGGAAACAACTGAAATACCCATCATTAGGACAATGGATACATAAAGTGAAAATTCATGCAATAGGATACACATGGTTCCTGACTTGTTTTTTTTTTACTGATATAACAGTTTTTGTTTTAAAATACCAGTATTTACACAACACCAGCAAATACGTACTTTGTCAACTAACTTCCCATGAAAAAATTTTAGATGGCAACTTAGATGGGTGAGGGGATACATGATTTTTCAAACACTTTTGGGGGCACATGAGCAGAACACTTTGTGGACCACTGTTTTCTAAAACACTATTATTTCTCCAAGTATGGTTGAGGGACAACTTACAGAATCACCTGGGAAGGGTGGCCGACTTGTAAAAAAATGCACACTCCTGGGCCCCTTCCCCAAATTGGGTTATTGGGTTTGGGGTGGACCCCAAACAAATTTTCAACATGCATCCCAGGTGGCTCTCATGCAAACCGTTTAGGAAGCACTACTTAAGAAAATAAAAACTAGCATTTTACAGTATTGTAGCCATGGCTGGAGGTGGAAACAACCTCACATACATTTCTGGACTGAGGATAGAGAACTGAAATAAAAGCTAAACAGAAGCCGGAGCTCACAAAATAGCAGCACCCATGGAGGAGCCTAGAAGTAGGAAAGGGTCACCAGGGAAGTAAGGCACTTTCCCCGGAATTACCAGCATGGTCAAGGAACAGAACAAGAATGGAAGGGCTTAGGCAGGCTAAGCCCACTGTGGGCTCTCCACTGTGGTTGCATTACGGAAGAAATCAGAAGGAAGTCTTTTTCCATCTTGAACCAGCCTGAGGAAAGTTCGTGTTTAGGAGGGTCGACCGTCACACCAAAATAAAACATGCACGAACAAAGCTGATTGCAAAGCAGGTGACAGAGCACACTGGGAAGCACTGCTGGAGAGGGCAGAGGGGTACTTGCCTGAAAATGCCCTTGGGACCCTCTGACAACACTGTTGGGATGGTTGAGGCTCCTGTTTCCTTTTGGTCCCACCGGTGGCCTAAAGTGTGGTCACAGAGCACTTATCTTCTGCCTGCTCACTGAGTGGGGCTTGCCAGCATCTCTCTCTTCCTAGGATCACAGAAGAACTGCAGCTTTCTGGGGAACAGTTTCACCTCCACAGGCATTGCTTCATACTCCTCACTGTCGATGCTAAAAGAGCCCCCGGCCCCCTCGGGGACAAGCAAAGTGCACTGGCTGGCTTGGAGATACTCCATGCCCTCAGCATGCCGCTTGGGGTTCCTCACCTTTCGACTTCCTATAGTCACAAAGTCTCCTTTGCTGATGGAGTCAGGTTCAATGCAGATGTTCATAAAATCTTCCTTGCTAGTTGGGTCAAGATGGTTGTTCCGTGTTGTGATGGACAGTTCAATGGTGGACAGCTGCCCATCTTTCCAGACCTCTGGGCTCACCTCTTGGGAAAGGGCATCCTGTGGTTGTGCCCAGAAGGATGCAAACCTTCGTAATATTCTCCTGTACAAAGAAGGCCGTTGTACAGGTGTCTCTTCTGGTTCGCTGGGAGGTCTCTCTGTAGGTCCCGTGTACGAGACAGAGGCTTGATGAGTCTGCTGAAAACGTGGGCTGCTTTGGTTTTTAGAGGCCCAAGACACCAGTACGATCCCCATCGAAGGCCGGTCACTGCAAACACAGGCTGCTCCTTTTCCCCCTTGATCTGCAGGACTTCAAGTGTAACTGTCTCTCCTCTCACAATGGCAAGCGTGGCATCAGTAACATGTTGGACTTTGTTTCCACTTTCGGCAAAGAGGGTATGACTCAAACTGCTGGTCTTTCCCAGTGGGATAAATCCAATGGGAATCTTACTGAAGGTAGCCTCATCTGTCGTCGAAGAAGTCCAGTTACGACCTCCTGCCTGTCCCGTGTCCTCCTGCAACAATGCTCACATCTGTGTTTTCCATCAGGTCCAGGAGTTCCTCGGCTCGTCCCTCGTAATCTATCCTAACAGTAGTCACATCCATGCCGGATAAATGTAAAATTGGGGCAGCATTTCTTTCAAATAGAGTCCTGGCTTTGCCTTTGCAAGTTGCAGGATTGAGAAAAACAGTTGCCTTCTTCATTTGTGCATTGGGAGGAATGAGTTGATTGCCAAACACCCATAGTCCCAGCTGCTCAGGAGGCTGAAGCAGAAGAATCACTTGAACCCAGGAGGCAGAGGTTGCAGTAAGCCAAGATCACATCACTGTACTCCAACCCGGGCAACAGAGCGGGCCTCTGTCAGTGTTTTCCATACAGCCAATGGCCTCCCCAGGTCAGCAGGCAAAGCCCAGCGGTGGTTTTCTTCCCATTATTTCGAAGTGTTTTAAAGAACACCATCATCTTCTAGAGATTTTCACGGCTGGTCCCGCTCGCTGGTTCCTGACTTAACAATGGTTTGAATGACTTATAATTTTTTAACTTTAAGATGGTATGGAGACCATACTTCAAGTACCCATACAACCATGCTGTTTTTCACTTTCAGTACAGTGTCCACTAAATTACACAAAATATTCAACAGTTTATTATCAAGTAGTGTTAGATTTTTTAGCTCAAGTATAGGCTAATTTAAGTTCTCTGAATATGTGTAAGGTAGGTGAGGCTAAGCTATGATGTTCAGTATGTTAGGTGTATTAAATACATTTGACTAACTATATTATCAACTTATAACAGGTTTATCAAGATACACCCCATTATAAGTTGAGGAGCATCTGTACTACACAGCAGGAAAAAAAGAACTGAGGGGAAAGGATTCCCTAATTCATAAATAATGTTGAGAAAACTGGTTAGCCATATGCAGAAAGCAGAAACTGGAATCCTTCCTTACACCTTATACAAAAGTTAACTTCAGATGGATTAAAGATTTAAATATAAGAACTAACACCATAAAAACTCTAGAAGAAAACCTAGGCAATATCACTCAGGACATAGGCATGGGCAAGGACTTCATGACTGAAACACCAAAAGCAATGGCAACAAAAGCCAAAATTGATATATGGGATCTAATGAAACTCCAGAGCTTTGGCACAGCAAAAGAAACCACCATTAGAGTGAATCGGCAACCAATAGTATGGGAAAAAATTTTTGCAATCTACCCATCTGACAAAGGGCTGATATCCAGAATCTACAAAGAACTTAAACATATTTATAAGAAAAAAATCCCACCAAAAAGTGGGTGAAGGATATGAACAGACACTTTTCAAAAGAAGACATTTATGCAGCCAACAAACATGAAAAAAATGCTCATCATCACTGGTCATCAGAGAGATGCAAATCAAAACCACATTGAGATACCATCTCATGCCAGTTAGAATGGTGATCATTAAAAAATCTGGAGATAGCAGATGCTGGAGAGGATGTGGAGAAAAAGAACACTTTTACACTGTTTGTGTGAATGTAAGTTAGTTTAACCATTGTGGAAAACAGTGTGGCAATTCCTCAAGGATCTAGAAATAGAAATACCATTAGACCCAGCAATCTCATTACTGATTATATACCCAAAGGATTATAAATAATTCTGTTATAAAGACACATGCACTCATATGTTTACTGCAGCACTGTTCACAATAGGAAAGACTTGGAGCCAACCCAAATGCCCATCAATGATAGACTGGATAAAGAAAATATGGCACATATACACCATGGGATACTATGCAGCCATAAAAAAGGATGAGTTAATGTCCTTTGCAGGGACAAGGATAAAGCTGGAAGCCATCATTCTCAGCAAACTGACACAAGAACAGAAAACCAAACACCACATGTTCTCACTCATAAGTGGGTGTTGAACAATGAGAACACATGGACACAACGAGGGGAACATCACCCACCAGGGCCTGCTGGTGGGTGGGAGGATAGGGAAGGTATAGCATTAGAAGAAATACCTAATGTAGATGACAGCGTGATGGATACAGCAAATCACCAAGGCACCTGTATACCTATGTCACAAACCTGCACATGCTGCACATGCACCCCAGAACTTAAAGTGTAATTAAAAAAATAGAGAAAAAGAAAAGAAAATGAGAGGAAAAAAGAACAAACGAATACTGGCTGCAATCATATGGCTCCAACTTTCAGACTTTATGTTTGGTGAAAGCAGCCAGGTGATAAAGAACACATACTGCATAATTCCACTTAAATGAAGTTCAAAAACAGGCAAAACTAATTGATTATAACAGAATCCAGACTCAGTTTCCTTGAAGTGTCTGGGTCTTGACTGAAGAGGGGCATGAAGGATATTTCCAGCTGCTGAAAATGTATCACATCTCAATCTAAGTAGTAGTTATTTGGATAAATACGTAAAAATTTCGTTGCGCTGACACTTAAGAATAGTGTACTTTATTCACTTTATTATATGTGTGCTAAAAGTCGACATTAAAATTTGGTTTTAAATCTGCTCTGAATCATTTGACCATGAACACACTGACTAATCTGCCACATCATAAAATACTACAGTGAACCATCACAGCAATACATCTAAAAATGCCACCATCCTGGTACTCTTCTTAAACGTACTCCTCCTGGACATGCAGTGACCTTTATGTTTTCAAGACGATATGTTCTGAAAGAACATGAATTTCGAATTTTTATTCCGTTTCAGTAACAGATATGCTCAGACTTGCCTGTGTTCTGAGATTTAGCTGCTGTGTTATCAGCGACATGTATTTATCAACACACCCGGTGCAGAGATGCAATTCCATATGCAATATATGTCCACTAGTAATCATATCAGCCAGCAACAACATAACCTTATGCAACATATAGATTATTTTAAGTGGGGCAAAATTGAATTTTTATAAATGGAAGGCTACTCAAATTCCATTTTCAAGATTTATTTTTCCTAATTTCTCCATTCAAATCAGCAAAACACTTAAGTAATTCATTAGCTAAAGCCACCTCAATAATAATGCTTCTTAAAATATTCCTTTAATAAAATATCCTGTTTCTTTTATAAGTTTCTCCCTCTTTTTCAATTTGCTTAAAACTACACCACAGGTCAAGCAGAGAAAAACACAAGTTCTGATAACTTCTGTTTTTTCTTTTTCTTTTTCCTTTTTTTTTTAGAGATTAGGTCTCCCTCTGTCACCCAGGCTGGAGTGCAGTGGTGTGATTGTGGCTCACTGAAATCTTGACCTCCCAGGCTCGAGCTATCCTCCCACCTGAGCCTCCCCAATAGCTGGGACTAAAGGAAAACGCCACCACAACTGGCCTAGTCTTGTATTATTTGTAGACGCAGGATCTCACCATGTTGTCCAGGATGGACTCCAACTCGTGAGCTCATGCAATCCACCCACCTCAGCCTCCACATGTGCTGGGATTTCAGGCAGGAGCCACCACATCTGGCCTTTTGTTTTGTCTTTCCTCACTAAGTCTTCGGTAGTGAGTCACTGGAAGAACAAAGAGATCGAGTAATAAAATCATTTAAAGTCAGGCCCACCCAGCTTAAGTCAGATGCAATTTGTTAACATGAGGCTTATGAATCCCAGGTTTTATTAGAAAACATTGATTTCCAGAGGTTTAGGAGTCTGAAGATCTTGGTAACTGGCCCCCTATGCTGACCAAGAACTTGGGGAAATTGCAGTCTCTTTCCAGACTACTTTTCAAGAAATTTCTCCCTGGTTGCTTTTCAGAACTAAATGATTTTTTTTGCTCGAAAAATTGAACAAACAACTGAATTCTGGCCTCGCAAAGGACTCTTCTGTTTTCGGGTTGGTGGCATTTTGGCTACAGCGTGTCATCTGCCTTTTCAGACTGTGCTATCTCCCAGGACATCCCTGAAAATAAGATCACGTATTTTAATAAAAAGGAATGGATGTGTGATATTGAACTTGTTCTTGCTCGTGTTAAGCCAAACCTATTCAAGAATTCATGAGGACCTGATATTTATTAAAATTTCACTAAGTACAAAATTATAAATTTTGACTGTCTTCTAGAAAAAGAATATATTTTATTTCATATAAGGGCCAAAAATAGTATTATGTATTGACAGTGAAATATAATAGACAACCTTTACAATGCTAGGTACATAGGAAGTGCCTAATACTTTCTCACTGACTGATCTACATGTAAATGAACTGCGTGATTCTTAACAAACTTTTACGGATTGGGAAGCTCTGAAAATTTGTTACTTATTCAAAAAAGATCTAAAAGATCAGTCCCTGAATGAGCAGCTCTATTGCTCTGTCCAACTCTCTTTGGCCTAGGTGAGAGGATATTTAACTTAGATTTAACTGGTCTTCAGTTGTGTCTACTTGACCTTCCATGTCACAAATGGACTAGAAGCCAGATATGCACAGAGCAGAAAAGTCAATAGCTGACCTCCAAAATCAATTCAGGGAAGCATTTTCAGTACTTAACTTTGTATTGTTCAAGTTTCTGTACAAAGAAAACAAACTAGGCCAACTTCTGGCCCTGTAGGCACTCATAATGCATAGCGTTCTGGCCTCCAGCATAAATCTATCTACTGAAGAACGAGGTGATTGTAATACAATAGTAGTTCTCCCTGACACCCAGGGTTTTGTTTTTTGTGGTTTCAATTACCCAAGGTCAACCAGAGTCTGGAAATAGGTGAGTACAGTACAATAAGGTATTTTGAGAGGGAGAGACAAATCACATTCACATAACTTTTATTACAGTATATTATTATAATTGTTCTATTTTATTATTTTTGTTAATGTCTTAACATGCCTATTTGTAAATTAACCTTAATCACAGTTAACATATGTCTAGAAAAAGACATCGCATATATAGGGTTAGCTACTATCCACAGTTTTAAGAATTCACTGGAGGTTTTGGACCATTTCCCCACAGAAAAGAAGAGACTGAGGTATACAGTGTTCAAAGATAAATATCCCTTCAGGTTGAAGCTGAATGAATGCATATTTGGAGTGAATAGAGACAGAGATATGAGAGTATTTGTTTATATACCCTGATCTAGAAAGCAGGAAGCTGTTGAGTTGTTTTCTCTTTTATTTTTTTTTCTTTTGAGACAGGGTCTCATGGAGTGCAGTGACACAGTAACTGCTCACTACAACCTCAACGTCCTAGACTCAAGCAGTCCTCCTACTTCAGCCTTCGGAGTAGCTGGGACTACAGACGTGTGCCACAATCCCTGCCTAATTTTTTTTTTGTATATATAGGATCCCACTATGTTTCCCAGGCTAGTCTCGAACTCCTGTGCTCAAGTCATCCTCTGGCCATGGCTTCCCAAAGTGCTGGGATCATAGGCATGGGCCACCATGCCCAGCTGCTGCCTTTTTTTTAAAAAAATATCATTTTGCTTCTTTTGGTTTTTGTCCTTTAATTTCAACTTAGTCTTTATGTTCTACCAATGTTCAAGAGGTATATTTCCAGAAAGAAAGCTTGCTAAT